AAAAAAAATTAAACTCTTGATTTTGATAAATATTTATTTAGAACACGTTTATTCATGATGACACAGTCTTGAAGGTGATACCTACAGCCAGATTTCCATATCTTCATCAGGAGGATAGTTCTTCAGGGCAAGTACACATTCTCTGATATTACTCTTAACATATTACATAGACATTACCTGAGACTGAAGATGAGGTGAGGTCATAGTTGGAATCCATATCAATTGGACCCCAATTTCAGCACTTCTGAAAAGGCAAAGCACTGACTATTTTAGCCAGATGAATATGCTAAACAGAAGCACATCCTGATAAAACAGAAACATGCGATTTGAGAAGACACTCCATTTTATTCAGAGGTAATTAGGAAACCTAAAGTCAACTGTGAAGACTTGTCTCTTCCTACAATCGTAACGAGACTGAAATGTGAGTTTGGAGGGACCAACATATGGGTTCTGTGTCAGATCAGACATGCTCAGGAGGAGGAGGCTTTCGATACAACCTTTCACACCAACTGAGCTGCAATATCACACAGAGAAACTTTGTAGTCAACACAGGGGACTTGCTCGCTCGATTTTTGCTCTTAGTCCCCCAATTCTGGTTATTTCCTGGTAATATATCGTTTTGTCAGAAGTCTGCAGTAGTGGTTTTATGTTTGAAGTCCTGGTCAATCCAATTCCTAACAAAAGTCTGGAACACCAATGACAAGTTGGGAAGCCTATCTGAACTATGAAACTGCACAGGCATTATGACAAAAATACATAATCTGGAGATGAGAATTCACAGACAATACCAGTGTGTGCTTACCTTTTTTCTACAATGAAGTAAAATGAGTTTTCACAGGCTTACTATCACAGCTGGATTTTGGCGACGGGGGCGGGGAGCTGCAGGGTGGCTTCTGCAAGAAGCTGCTAGAAGTTTCCCAAGTTTGACAGAGCCAATGCCAGCCGGCTCTAAAGAGGGACCCACTGCTGGCCAAGGCTGAGCCTATCAGTAAAGTGATAGGAGAGGAACGCCTCTGTGAAAACATATTTAAGAACG